CCTACCTTTTTTGTAGGGTCCCTATAAATCCCATATTAGGGTTTTTAATAAGAACCGACAAAAAAGTGGTTTTCGGGTTCTTAAGGTAGCGTTTAAAGTTTAGGGCTTAGGGTTTAGGGTTTAGGGATGTAGGCAACCCCATACAAGCATCCCTGGTAGTCTAAGGGTTGTCAAACCACAAGCCCCCACGATGTTTGAAAGATGCGTCCCATGAACATCTTTGGATTGTACTGGTTGAAAAACGATATATTCAATCTTTACATATAAAACCTCCCAATCCCCGATAATTCAATGGGAGGTTGCATTCAACATGGTTAAAGAACCTTATAATGCAGACAACCCATCCGATGCCTGAAAGGGTTCTAGAGTTTGGGACTTTAGAGCCTAAACCCTAACCCTAAACCGTAGACCCTAAACCCCCAACCCTAAGAAGCCCAGGTTTTCATGGCTTCCAAAACCGCATAATTCCAGGTGCTAAAGTTCCGGTTCCGCTCCGGAGGCACCGCAGCCGCCTCCGCGAGAACGGCGGCCTGGTTTAGGGTTTAGGGGTTTGGGGTTTATGGTCGAGGGTTGAGGGTTTAGGGGGGGGCTTTTAAACGCTTGCAGGACACGGGCTCAAACCCCAGAAACTGAAACAAGACAATGACTATCAGACCCTACAGTTTTGAAGAAACACAAAGCCCTGCAGAACCGTCGGGCTTAGGGTGCAGGTAACTATACCTACCATCGCTGGGATCCAAAAAAGGTCAGACTGGGGTGTCGCACTTGAGGCGCTTGGACGTTTGGGCTTAGGGTTCAGGGCCTACGGTTTCGCGTTCAGGGTTTAGGGCCTGTTTCGGGCTAACGGTCCGGAAGAATATCCTGCTTTGGGACTGGAGTTGTGGCGGTGCTCTCCTGTGACTTAGCGGGATGCGTGAAATGTCGGGCACTCGAACAAGTAAAAGGGGCTTCTCGGGTGGCTCAATTGAACTTTCCACGGCCTAACCCAGGTTGTAACACCATAGCTATGGTATACTTGGAGGATCATGGGACTTAGTAAGTAAGGTTATAAGTACCCTAATTGGGGTTATAATTATCGTTTCCCTATTTCTTACCCTAGCTACTAAGTCCCATGATCCTCCAAGTATGGTATAAGAATCCCTGCCATGACAGTTTGGGGCTTTGGGGCTCCGGGGGCTCAGGGAGTCCGTGCTCATGGCTCCAGGTTCCTAGGATTGCGGAGTTCGAGGCTCGGGGCATAGGAAATGGGAGAATGGGGTTTAGGGTTTAGGGTCGAGGATCTCGATCCAAACGGCGGTAAGCTCTGAACCCCGAACTCAAACCATCTCAAAGCCCTTATGATCACCCAACAATAACCTAGAAATAGCGGAAAAAACTACAGGAACCTATGGTGCTCCGCAGGAACATATGCGGAGCCTAAACGTACCTAAGCTCTAACACCCCAGAATATCTCACTCTCTCAACTCCAAAAAAGGCGGGAATGGCCTACAGTGACCCATACGAACCACAACTCTTGCACTAATCCCTTAGAACCTAAGCCCCAAACCCTAATATAAGGGCCTTAATTAGAATATGGTTTTGGGTAGATTCTCCTATAATTATAATAAGGAACCCCCAAAATAATACCTTATAGTAGCCCTTGTAGTAACCCTTTAAGGAGCCCTTTAAAGGAATATGAAGGCCCCTACAGTAAGCCCCAAACCCTAGGCGCGGCTGCCTTGCTCCCCGAGGAGCTGCCGGTGGCCAGGGCCCGGAGACCCAGGGCGATACCCTGGCGGAGGCATCGAAGAGCCAGTTTAGGGTTTAGGGCTTAAGGTTTAGGGTTTAGGGTTTAGGGCTTAAGGTTTAGGGTTTGGGTTTGGGGTTTAGGGCTTAAGGGTTTAGGGTTTCGGGTTTGGGGTTTAGGGTTGAGGGCTTAGGGTTTAGGGTGCTGCAAGGGTTCCACTACGGCGGCTGTGTAAGAGCACTTCCATCAGGGCTCGTTAAGCGTTTCCATGACGGATCTAAGCTGGAGTTTTAGGTGTTGCGGGGGGGTTGGGTTGTAGGGAATTTCGGGGTGGAGAGACAGTCCATAGCCGTACCACGAGACTAAAGTCAATGGAACTCTTATATCATATCTCCGTATGAGACAAACGCGTACGCACAAGTGTGCCGTGTTGGCAGGGAAGAAGCCGACCAGATGAACGACACCCAGAACGTTTAGAGTAAAGTGCCCCGGGCCGGACCAAGGCGCTGTGGGTATGGTGCTCATCTGGTGCTTCGAGAAGATCTTGCTCTCAAGGATTCTCAAGGGACATTGCTAAACCCAGCAGGCGCATTGGCGGCCTCAGACCCGGAATTTCAGGAAGCCCCAAGCGCTGGACCCGAAACCTCCGTATGCAAGGCGGCCCAGGGCCCAGCCGCCTTGGCGTGAAACGGCGGACTGCGCGTCCGCACGAAGCTCCTTCACTGAGGCTGCTCGATGACAAGTCTCGGGTTGCTTCTTTGCTTAGAGGTGCTTTGGCCTGAAAATCCTACGGAATACTGTTCGTAATTCTTCCGACCCGCATGGAGAAGGCGCTGACCCTGCTTGACTCTAGAAGTCAAAAACCACTGCAGCACGCTTCGATTTGATTGACTGTCGCTTCAACGACGGCCCGTGCCCCCACCCTCTCCTGCAAAACAACAGAAGAACGACGCTAGCACAAACCCTGAAGAATCCAAACCAACCCTTTCAAGAAGTCCTTCTCCAGGGGCGCAGGGCCCGTGCCAGCGCGGCGGAAGCCGACATGGCTCCCGGGCCCGAGGTTGCTGAAGAAGCGGAGTGCAGTGGTGCTTGGTTCAGGACTACTTGGAGGATCATGGGACTTAGTAGCTAGGGTTATAAATAAGGTAACTACAATTATAACCCCAACTAGGGTACTTATAACCTTACTTACTAAGTCCCATGATCCTCCAAGTAAGGATGTAGCATCCTGGAGTTGGATTCGGGCGGCTGAGGGCCGCTGAAGGTGATCTTGGCGTCAGGGTGTGTGCAGGATTGAGAATCAGGGCCAAGGTGCGAGGCTAAGCTCTGTAATCTATAGTGTTCGGAGCTGTATAAGAAGGGGTCTGCATAGGTCGACTTCTATCTCAGCTGCAGCAAAGAGTGCTGCTGCCACGGCATTTGCTTTGTCCAGGAGTGTAGAGCTTGGGGACGTTTTTTGATTTTAGGGTTTGCGGTGGTATGTTCCCATTGCCGGATGCCTCAGGCTGCAGAGCATGCAGGCTTTACTGTGGTGTGGAATGCGTTGGGCGTGCAGGACACTATATGGGCCAACTAACACTGTGCTACATGACAGCCCCACATCATGGAAAGTGCAGGTGCGTAAGGCCCCGAGCGGCTCACTTTTTCGGCCTAAGGCCCATGCTGTTTCGCACAAGCCTAGGTCACTCATCACCACAAGCTTGCCTCGAGCAAGTGGGTAATGTCGGAGAAGAACTCCAAAGCATGCCCGGTGGCGAGTCGGCCGAGTTTGCCATACTTCATCAAAGCACTCGGGGGGTCGAGGGTTCAGGGCCCAGGGTTTAGGGTTTAGGGTTTAGGGTTTAGGGGTTCAGGGTTTAGTATTCAGGCCCCAGTGTTCAGGATACAGGCTTATCTAGACTCTGAACTGAACCCAGTATCCTATCGATGGCGGTCGTTCCGCAGCGCAAAGGACGGGTCTTTGTTTCCTGCGGCGATTCATCCGGCCACGGGGCAACGGCTTATTTACACGTCGCAGGCTTCAACCACGTCAGCTTGAATCGCTGCACCCGGTTTCGGCTCTTGTGTGACATGTTCACCGTTCCAAATGGAATGAGCTCTTGCATGGCATGTTAAAGCTCTTATGCCATCGGACAGAGAACAGGCAGACATGCCAGGCACTAACAATGCGCAGATGCGCAAGCGACCACGCAATCGAACCCGCGCCCAATCATGGCATTTCTGAGCAGGCACGATTCAACACGGGGCACACCAGACCATTGGTTGGTGGCAGAAGTACTGCAGCTCCAGACCCTAAACTCGACACCTTCAACTGTGCGACCCCTTGACTCGGCAACCTCAGTCAATATCAATCAGTACATCTACAGAAACAGATGTATGTATATGTATATACACGCACATACAGAGGAAAAATGCCCATGAAAACCCTGAACGGCGACCGGCATACCACCAACAGCCAGGCGAAGAAGCCGCAAGCAGTCTCACTTCTTGTTCTTGTCGCGCCACCATATCCCTTCGCGACCCACGCCTCCCTGCGTTTCCAGGGATTTTTGGGCGGCGTCGGGAGGTTCAGAGGCGTGTTTGCAAGGTTCAGGCCGGGTTGCAGCCATCTCAAGAACTAAAGCAGCTCAAAGCTCTGAAGTCATCCACTACGGAAACAAGGGTGCACGATCCTTGGGAAGGATTCGAATGGGCAAAGGTATGTAGGACACCCCAACCTGCTCACACATCCCGTGCACTTACTGGAGCATCCGAAGCAAGAGTGAACAACTACCGCTACACCTTTGCAGCAAGAACTGGGAACTTCCCCAAAGTCTGCTTTCCACGGAAAGGACAGCAGCCCTGCATCCGAACTAACCCATGGCAGGCTTCCCTAGAATCTCTGGGCCCTGTCTCGCTGCAGCTGATGTTTAAGAGGTCCTTAGAATAAGGATCTTGCCATATTCAGGTAGGTAAACGCCACATTCTACCGTGACTTTGCTTGATGTGGTAGTCTGAATCACTGAATTCCCGGGGTCTGGGGCTCCTATAACCTTAAAGGCTGTATAAGGGCTTCTATAAGCTACACCCCCTAAACCCTAAACCCTAAACCCTAAACCCTAAACCCCTGTTCGCTCACGGAGCCTTCAGCCTAGTGCTACCCAGACGGGCCCGGCCTCCTCGTTCTTGTCCACCCTGCCAGGAAGACCCCAAGATGTTGGGAATTAACAAATGGAGCAGCGTTTGGGGGTGTAGTGTACTTTTCCTATAGGGACTGTAAGAATACTCCCCTATATCCTGCCAAAGATGCTGTCCTGCTGGAGTTTTCAGGGGCCTTCTTCTCCACTAATCGTGCTGCACAAGCCGCAAGAAGAAGAACCTACGTCTGCTGTCTTAACTGCTCCCAAGACTGGCCGGACCGCTGCAGACTGGCAGATATTGCTGCTTTTGTTGCTGCTATACTGGAAAGCTTCTGTGGCGACGAAAGCGCCGACGACGATCACTGCCGCCACTACCCGGAGAGCCCAATACCCCTTAAAAAAGGAATGTACCTTCAATCATAGGGGCCTTAATATTGCGATTTAAGGTATATTCCTTAATTAAGGGGTATTGGGCTCTTTGGGTACAAACCCTAAACCCTAAACCCTAAACCCTAAACCATTTAATGCGGGCTTTTCGGAGAAGCCGCAGGCCCTCTGGGCTCCCGGCATGCTCGGGCTCTTGCTGAACTGGCCATCTCCTGGGGTTTAGGGTTTAGGGTTTAGGGTTTAAGGTTTAGGGTTTAGGGTTTAGGGTTTAGGGTTTAGGGTGCCATCTCCTGGCAGCTTCAGGCTCGGAGGGCTCGGTGCACTACAATGTGGGGGGGCCTTTAAGAAAATTAGAATAGGGTTCCTCTAAAGGGTTCCTTAAAGGGTTCTATAAGGGCTACTATAAGGGTTTAGGGTGTAGGGGCCTTAATAATTAAAATAGGGCTTTGGGTAGGTAATTATTAAAGCCCCTTTTTTAGGCTTCTCGCCGTACATGGAAAGAGACAACAGAAAAACTGCCCTGGAGGCTCCCGGTGGATTTCGAGAATGTACAACAAAGATCATCAAACCTTTGTACGTAGAGCGATGCAGAGCGATGGAGCATCAGCAGAGCAGTGTCCTGAAACTGGGATTTAGTAGCTAGGGTTATAAATAAGGTAACTATAGTTATAACCCCAATTAGGGTACTTATAACCTGACTTACTAAGTCCCATGATCCTCCAAGTAAAACTGGTTCATGAGTGCTGAAGGAACTCTTTTCTTCCGGGGCTTGCGCGCATTTGAGAGCTTCGGGCTTCGGCACTCCATTTGTGAAACACAGGTTCACCTTGCCTCATAGTGGGGTCTCCACGCAGAATCGCAAACCGAAAACCTCCAGCCTGAAGTCCTCAAGCTCGAGCCCTCAGCTTCAAGCCTCATGTTCCACACGCCGACGGGCCTAAATTTCCGACGTGTCAACCCTGAACCAGAAAGCTTACCCACCTTAAGCGAGCTCAAACTTTCCGTTTTCTGACCCTAAGCTGCTCAGGAAACCGGATTTACATCTACCCCCAGGATCCGAAAGTGGGCAGTTCTCTAAATTAGGGATCCTTTTTGGGTCCCAATCAGAGTACGGCACCCTTATAAAAGGACCCTAAAAAAGGACCCCAAGTTAGAGAACTACCCAAGTGCAGCTCCTGCCGTCTCCTTCGACTGGAGAGAGCCTTCCCGCCTTCTAAAGCAGGGCCGAGGCAGGAGGGTCTCCAGAAACCCCCAGACTTTGGAAGTGATTTTGGCCAAAAATAATTAGAATAGGGTTTTTTGTGGTATATTATGCTAAAATTCTGATAAGGAAAGGAACCTCCCAAATAGTAATATCGGTAATTATTTAGGCCCCCATAGTAGGCGGGGGTGGCTGAAAAGGTCGAAGACCTAATGGTCCTAAGGTTAGGGGTGTACTGAAGGCACTGAAACTTGAACTTTTGAAGGTAGGAGGGGAGGTGTGGCTTCGCGGCTTAGGGCATGAAGCGTTTGCTGTTTCAGGCTTTGGGGCTTGGCCGTGAGAAGGCTCACAAGGTTCAAAGGTTCAACATTTGGGGTGTGAAAGGTTTCAGGTTTGAGGATTAGGTAACCGCAGATATAAGTACACCTGCATCTACATCCTGTACATGTCAGCATGGCTGAATATCCTGTCTATATCTTGTGCGTGAGTTTCAACGAACCGACAAGAGTACTTTTTGAAACCTCGGTCCCCAAAAGCTTTGCGCATCAAGCCCCGAAGGTCTGCAACTGAGTTTTGTTCTGCAGATCCTTTTCGAAATTTTCCGACTGCATGGATAACGACCGGCGACACGACCAAGGGTTCAGGGGTCAGGGTCTGCATGGACCCATGAACAACCATATGGGTAGTTCTCTAAATTAAGGTCCCTCCTTAGGTCCCATAAAAATGACACTATAAGGGACCCTAATTTAGACAACTACCCATATCCACGAGAACCAGCTAAAGGACTTTCACGCGAGCATAAGCTTTACTGTTCAGTTCAATGGAGCCCCTGAAAATACTGATGCCCAAAATCCTGCATGACCTACAACATCGCACATATTCCCTGTCGCGCTATCCATTTCCCCGCAACCACCCCTGAACCTCAATGTTGTATCACTATGGGGTCATGCAGGATTCAGGGCATTCGCTCAAGGCCCTTTTCCAGCCCCTGCACGAGAGCGATAGTGAAATTCGGGGTAGCAGGGGAACCGTGGGATGTTCAAAGTCATGCAGGATACCGTAGGAGACCAAACCCGTGACCACCCTGAACAAGGAAGCGTGTGGGTCTGGGGCTCTTCCCGACCCTGAACGCCTCATGGCACTGCCATCCGCGGCTGCGGTCTCGCTATAGTCGCTACGGTGCTCTCCCACCAGCATCTTATTGCCTGCTTCAGAGCTTCAGGGTCTCAGGCTTCGGGATCCAAAGCTTCAGGGGAAGTCCTACCGGCCATTTACGATGGGAAGGCTATTCGCAACCCTGCCACAGCAAGAAGGTCTTGCGATTTAGCGCCCGGAACCCTCAAACTCTCTCTGTCCGAAACCTGGTGACAGTTGAGCTGTGGGCAGCTACCCACAAGCTTTCCCTGTCATGCTCGGGGCTTCGGGCTGAACAGTACTGTTGATTGGAAAGGGGTCGTACTGTAGGTGCCGTAATAATTGGAAAAGAGGTTTGATGTACAGCGTACTACACTAGTTCCGGATTTTCCGAACAATTACATTCGCAAATATTCTGTATTTCAACACCGAAACTTCAATCCCACAACTGCGAAGCAGGTGCAGCTCAAAACAAATCTCAGCAAGCCCTTGATCCAGGTCTAACAATACTGTAACCCCACCCCCCTATGACACCCCCTCTTCCATGCTCCACCTTATAGAGCCCCTGTCTGCAACACCTCTATAGAACCAAAGACTCCTGAAACCCGGATCCCAAAACCCTAAACC